TTATTTTCAACGAGTCAAAATTACGTTCGCCAAGTTTCTCTTGAAAGATTTTCTCACACAAGATGCGCTTTCGTAACAAAACACAATTTTCTGATAATCTGTGATATTTTTGCAATTGAGCATTTATTGACATTCTTAATTGAATATCGTTTCAGATGAAAATGCTGAATCCAAAACTGTGATAGCCCTGATGATAGATATTTCTGATTTTGTCAAGACGTTTTGACATTCTCATCATTAACTTTAAACCATAAAATAATAGAAAAAAAGATAAATGTTTTTGAAATAAACTAACCTTTTGTTAAGGAATCAAAAACCTTGTGTTTCTTGGAATATACCCTAATAAAAAAAACTCCATTTAGGAAAAAGAAAAAAGAATATGTATACCGTTAGTGTATGAGTTGAAGTACGCGTTTCACCAGTTTGCCAATATAACTGTCTCTCTCTCTCTCTCTCTCTCTCTCTCTCTATATATATATATATATATATAACNTATATATATCCCGTGATTTTTATGTTGATGTCGTTTTTAGTTCGACCGGATAGTCGTTTTATTGTACTATCGCCCAAAGTGTCCGAATTAGCTGGGATTTTACAGTTCAATATCCGTCGGCGTTTCCCTCGGTTTTTCATTAGCCCTTGTGAAACCCCTCAGATCGGAAAATAACTTCTGCCCCCGGCCAAATAAAAGTATGCGGTCTGAAGTTGGTCTAACAAAGTTGGCCGGTTAACTCCTGAGCCCGGACGGATCGTGAACCGAAAGTAACTCGGACGTATTGCGGGTTTAGTGTCCACAGATGAGGGAATCTCTCACAGGGAAGATTGATAATGCGGGCGCACTGTTTTAGACCAAAAACACGCTCAATCGAAAATTTGGATTTTGTTTAAATTTATTTATTTATTTTTTGTTCTCAGTTCAATACGTAAATAATAAGCAATCTGTCATAGGTATTAGATCGCTGTTGTTTGATCAATCAGCTATGTCGAATGAATTAGTGTTTTGTTCTTAAAAAAATTACAAAAATATCGTTTCAAAAGTAGGAAAGTAATTTACGGTAGAATAATTTGTGGCTTTATTTTGTAAAATTGTTCTAGTTGTAATGACATCGTTAAGGTTAACATATTTCAACCTGTAATCAATCTTAATTCGGATTATATAAGAAATATTTTTGCTAATTTTAATATGATCTTTCAAAATTCCCTGCCCATCAAAAACAAAAAATATTTTTTTTTTATTACATTTATTTGGTATTTACAACTACAAGTGTTGTATTAAGTAAATATGTTCGTATATGTTGAATTATCATTTGAGGCTCTTGTAGGAGAAGTTGCCCAGTGGTAACACTTCTTCACACTGGTATCTTGTTCAGTCTTCACACAATGAGAAGGTCTCGGGGCCACTTTCGCTTCAATCGTCTTGGAGGATTTTCAGGTAGGGTTGGAAGTGATAAATTTCGTACGAATAGATTACTGTGTGTGTTCAGTGATTGATGAAATTTTTTATATCGGGTTTTGATGAGTTCGTGTACAAACCGGATGTGTAGGTCTTTATGGATAGATAGTGTAATTTGAAACGTAAAAAGGAGCATTTATAATTTGACGGAGAATTATAGATTGGATTGATTGGAGACGCTGGGAATTGGAATCCTTGGTTGAGCCCCACACTTCACAACCATACGCCCAGAGAGGTCTAATCATTGTCTTTTCATGTTTGTTTAATCTATTCTTACAACTTGTAACTATTATTATTACGACACCAACTTTCGTTATTTAAATGTATATAGTTTTCTTTTGTACTACGAAATTTGTATCAACTGTGACTTTTCTCTGTGTTATGCACTAGCCTAATAAAGTTGGTGAAAAAAGTCTGGTCAAATTCACTCCCCCGAAGTAAGGGGCGGGGTTGAACCTTCTCCATTCGCTCTAATAATTTACTTATACTCTCCAGACGTCACACACTCACCCCAGAGAAAAGTTTCTAAAATCTGGGAATTTTTTTTATTTGAATCATTTACATTTATGAATGTAAAAATAATAAAAAATTTTATGCTTCAACGGTTTCTAACACGCGCACTTTGAATTAAACTCTTTTTAATTTATTTTTTTTAATCTACATCAATGCAATTATTCCGGACCCCTGTACAATTTAGTAAAATAATAAGTTTAGAATAGATGATTAATTAAAAATATAAACACACAAAAAGAGCATGTAAAATGGATCATAAATATTAAAAAGATAAAATGAAGAACTTTTTTCTCAACTACGTAATATGAGCCAAAAACTTACTTTAGCCATACCGTCTTAAGTAACCATTCGTCTTCGTCCGGCTTAAGCAAATCTGAGAATTAAAGCGGTCCAATTTAATTGCAGGCCGTTAATTGTTCGTGAGCCTTTTGAAAATCTGTGTTAAGACGAAAAAATTTGTTTTTTAGACTTCTTAGATAAAGATTGTTTGTCGTTTCCACTTTTATAAAGCCAAGTCATGAAAAAAGTGAAATGCAACAGAAATACTTCTGAATTACGTTACATTGTATAAAACATGAGGAAATAGTTTTTTAACAAAAACAATTGCTACATTTATTTCTTGAAATTGTCATTTTATTGTAGATCGACAATTTTACCATCGACGTTTCGTCAGCAATCGGCATTGAATCAACGGAATTTTGAAACATTGGATTGTTGCCAGCGGGGCAAGACAGATTAAGATTATGCTTATTATTCGTGATTGACGCATTGATTGTATCGAAATATCAGCCGACCCCGTTAGATAAGAATTGAACCCATCTTTAAAATGCATCCGTTAACAATTGTATAACACATTCGTACATTTATAATGTGAGGAAATTATGAAATTAAACGGGATAAGCAACTTGCTGATTAAAAAACATTTATATTGCAGAACATAACAGATATGAGGTATCTGAGTCCAGTGCATATCGGTAATTACAGGGAATTTCTACCCGTCTTTACCGTTAAAAATTATCACGATGGCTGTTACAAAGTTGTGGGTTAAATCCTTTTTAAAAAGATAGTTCCTACTCACAGTAAGTTGTTTTGCAACAATCCGGATTTCGAGCCCTTTGCTCATCATCAGGTTGAAGTAGTTCGACAACCTGATGATGAGCTAAAGGCTCGAAATCCGGATCGTTGTAAAACAACTTATTGTGAGTAGGAACTATCATTTTAAAAAAGATTGAACACCGCACTCACTCCACCATTCATCGTTTCTATTAAGTTGTAGGTTTACTGAAATATCAAGAATTTTTTTAACCCCTTAAAAACTTAAAACGGTAAACTTAGAAACTAAACCGATTTGTGGATTTGGGGGAAGAAAACTGCGGTTTCGGAAAACGTTATTTTTTTCTAGTGGTATTTGAATACAAAACCAGCTCATCAGCGGCTCAACCGATTTTAAGTATAGTTCGTCGCTAAATTTAAAAAAGCGCCTTTCATGGGACTAATCCGTGATACGAATCAAATATCACGGTGTGTTCCTCGCTAACTGAAATTTGAACGAAACTTGGAATCTTTTTTTTAATACAATCTCTGTGAGCCCTTAATGAACCAAAACAACCCGGTTTCCTACTAATTCACATTTAATGGACCCAAGCTTCACGCCGATTCTCTCGATTTCTGAATCGTAAAACATCTGAAGATGAAAGACTTAAGACTTTGAAAATGAATTGAATATAAATTTGTAGAAATCGGATTGTTTTCATTCGTGAAAACCCCGCATTCAAAAAATTGGATTGATTATTATTGCACATTGTCAGTTTAATAAAAGTGCGTCAAAAACTGAGGTGATGTAGGAAAACAGGGTCATCTCCAGAACTCGTACCTACCTACTGCAAACCTCCTCCAAAGAACATTTCTCTCTTCAATATTGTAGACCTATAAACTGAAAGCGCAGTGTTGTTCCTATTGTTTCTGCCCGTGTATTGGCAACCATAATTTTTTTTTGCTAATTCAAATCACCATCTCAAGATCTTTTATCTCCAACATCAGTTTTTATATTAGCCTAACATAAAAATTTTTAAATACAGTTTATAATTAAACTCTTTCTTGTCCAAAGTTGTTTCAGAGCAATGCCAACATTAATAACTTTGTATAAGATTAATAGTAAAATACCGTTAATATTTTAGGGCGGGCGCAGTGTTGTTCCTGCTGTTTCCGTCCGTGTATTGCCAACACTGGTATATTTGGCGCCAATTTAAACTCTTGGGATTTCCTGATAACCATTTAACAAAATTGCTAACTTCTGTTTGATTAAGACCAAATTAGGCCATTAGGGTTAGATAATCATCTGTTAGAGATCGCAGATTCCAGATATATCTCTATGCCACTTTCAGGCAATAAAAGAGCCACCCAAAACACTTAAATGTGATTTTGACCAGTGGTGGTTGGAATAAAGATTAAACTGGAAGTAGAATAAGAGAACATATATAGTTAAATAAACCTATAAAGGATCAGTGTTGTATTTTATTTTTTGGTAGAGTTTAATCATAATTTTAAAGAGGATACAATTTTACGATTAACGTTTAATGAGCTTATATTTTTTTGTCAGTTGACAATTTTCTTATGAAAATGAATGAAACTACAGACTGATTTTCAAGAAAACTGCATTAAAAGTTTTAGGATAGGTTTTAATGCACAAATGCGCTTACAAATAGTTGGAAATCACAAAAATGATAAAATAAATAAAAAATATTAATAAATTTTATCGTACTCGGAGGAAATGCTAATCTGGTTAAACCACGTGTCAAAACAATTTTATTTATAGCAATTACAGTCCTGTTTTAAACAACCACATATTAAATATCGAATTGTTATCACGAGAAAACAAGAATGAGGCAGTTGGAAGGGGGAAAGAATTGGTGGAAAGAGCAAAGTTCAAGGCGGCATTAAACATTGCCCAAATCGCCTTAATTAATATTTCTTAATATTTCAAAGCATTTTAAATTTATAATAAACACCGTTTAATTCTTGCCTTTTGCTTCAGGTACGGGGTTGTGAAGAGTTCTCATGGTAACGGAATATCGTCGGACCCGCGTCGGTCTGGGGTAGCAGGGAGAGGGGTGGTGAAATGGGTACGTAAACAGAAGTGTTCCCCACCACCCGACAGCAGGAAGAAACACCAAGAATCAGCCCAGGAAGGGAAGCAGTCTGAGATGAAGCTGCGGGAACGTGTGACGATCGGGGCCAGCGCCTTGGCCGTCCTCATCACCCTGGCCTTGGTCCTCGACTTGGAGCTGGACCTCGGCATGAGCGGCCACCGGCTCCTGACGCGACACGGGAGGATCAAGTACAACGACAACGGGGTCGACACCCCACGAGCCGCCTACAACACATTCCGAAGGAAATTCCTTGAGAGGAGCAACACGTCGGCCACCGGGACGGGGCAAACTGTCTCCGAGACGACGACCACCATCAACCAGCTGAAGCCAGACCAGTACCTCGATCTCAAGGAAATTCTCGCCAACCTCGGAAGCCAGGATGTCGTCGTCAAATCCGACGAGAACGATGGTACCAACCCTTCTCTAGCAGACATCTTCGAAATCCCATTCAGGTGAGTCCTTTTTTTCGACTAAGCTTTTATACAGCCAAAAACATAGCTACTATTGATAAAGAAACAGACGGATTTAAAACTATAAGATCGATGACCGATGAAAGACCATTTCAAATGAAACGGATCCCGTTATTAACTTACCTGATGACAGTTCCTATTACGGTTTATCGAGAGCAGTAAATGCATCCTTGCCGATTTGTTATTAACACTCAGTCACTGTAATTGGCATTTCTTATTGTTATTAACTTGCGATTAATTAATCTTTTTATGTAAGGTTTTGGTCGAAATGAAAAAGTTAGTGTCACGAGCGGGATTCGAACGCACGACCTTCGGCTGAACGCGGCGGGATTTGTACCATGACTTTCAGCTTAATAGCCGCTGCTCTAACAACTTGAGCTATCGTGACTTCGATCCACTCGAGCACCAACTCCCATCTTGACCTTCAACCTTTCGAATTTTCACTCCTTTTTGCCATTTTTCTGTTAAATAAGTTGAAACGTTCGTAGCAAGACGTAAATTGTCTTGATAGAGGTCATATATTTTTTAGTCGCCTTATGTTTCCATTAAACATAATTTGAACAACAAAAAAAGTCTTGTTACTGTTATGGCCTCTAATTATCACAATATATAATATTACAATATTACCGTCTTACAATACACACTTATACATATAATCTGTCTGTTACTAATTAATCTTTTTATGTAAGGTTTTGGTCGAAATTAATAAGTTAGTGTCACGAGCGGGATTCGAAAAGCCGATGGTCGTGGGTTCGAATCCTGCTCGTGACACTAACTTTTTTATTTCGACCAAAACCTTACATAAAAAGATTAATTAATTGAAATAAGTAATTTGGTCAATAGACCACTAAATAAAATGGATTGTTATTAACATTCAGCTAGTGAAATACTAATAGCAAATATTACTCCAAATATTATTTAGTAGTCAATATCGACAGTATTAATTATTTTAATTAATTATACATTTGATCTAAGGTGTTGGTTGAGCTTGCTTCGAAATTCGAAAATATGGCAAAAAGTGGAAAAATTCTAAAGGTTTAGGTTGAGATGATTAGTTGGTATACGGGTGGATCGAAGTCACGATAGCTCAAGTTGTTAAAGCAGCGGCTATTAAGCTGAAAGTCATGGTACAAATCCCGCTCGTGACACTTGCTTTTTTATCTATACCAAGACCTTAGGTTTAAAATATAATTAATTAAAGTAAATATTACTGTTTTGCACACCGCTTACAAAGTCTGATTTCTTAAACTCCAGACGTAGTTATTTAGTTACAAGAAGCAGAAGGTAGAAGTACAAGAGGTACCACTTCGTGATTATATCCTGTCTTACATTGAAGATCCTTTTGTATACAGTTTTTCACTGCAATATTAAGTGTTGAACGCAAATTGTAAATTTGTATGAGAAATACAAATTTATGTGAAGAGTCAAAGGGTGCTGTAAAGGAATCTTATATTTTCTTGACTTTTTGATCATTGAAAACGAAAGATAAGAAATGTACTTTAATGTTGCTGAATCAGCGCAGCAAATTCAACGATCAGTTAATTTCCAGTTGAGGGTCACCATACAAAAAAACCAATTTATCTTTCCCTGAATATATGCGAATCAAAAATAAAAATGCTAATGATCATAATGATAAAGGACTATCAACTAGCACGTGTAGTTTAAATATGAGCCTAGATTAAAATTATTAAATAGAACCATTAAAGCTAAACCAACTATCAATTTGGATTCAGAAGGATGACAGAAATCTTGAAAACTTTGTTAAATAATTAAATTGTCTTGATAGAGGTCATACATTTTTTAATCGCTTTATGTTTCCATTAAACATAATTTGAACAACTAAAAAAAATGTTTTGCTACTGTTATGGCCTCTAATTATCGCAATATAACATTCAATATTACAATATTACAGTATTACAATCCACACTAATATAATAAAGAGAGAAAGTTTTTATGTAAGATGTAATCTCAAAATCTACTGATCCGATTTTGATCAAATTGTTTTTCGGCGCGTTTCTTATAATCACAGGAATGATATAGTCAGAGATTTGTCATGCCATTATTGCAGTACCAAGTAAGGATATGAAATTATGTGTGTTACTGTGCATATCGACAGTTCTTTCAAAAGGAAACGACCAGTTAAGGTGAGATTTCCTCGACATTTTGGAATAACATTGAAACTATTTAATTAAGGACAAATATGTGAGCTCATTTAGAAGTTGGAGCCAACCAATATTCTACTCAATTACTAAGTAACCATCAAAACAAAATCAAATCAAAATGCTTGTAATAAGATAAACGAATGGACAAAAAATGGAAAATCATGCTAAATCAGCATAAATCATCTAATCTTTACAAACAAAAAAGTGGACCATGTTCCATCGCTAAGTTATCTGGGAATAACCTTAGTTTTGCCAAGCTTACATCGAAATTACACGTGAAGAAAAATAGGACAGAAATAGGTTTAAGGTATAGACAACTATACTGGTTGATAGGACGTGGCTCCAACCTTGATGTTCAAAATAAAATATGTGTGGTGATTAGTGACCGTTAGTCGATAATTATTCAGAAATCGTGAGATGCGGTGATTTAGGTTTCAGAAAAATATTTTCTTTATCGTACCAACCTTTCGATCTTCTTCAAGGCCTGAGATTTACAAACATTGTTTAAATTTAACAGAAACATGTAGGATGTGGAAAAAAGTGAATTTATACTATGCAAAAACATATTTTTTTATATTCAATCAAAGTATTTCTACTCACTCAAAGTGTTTGTTTTCTACGTAATTCTGCCATTCTTCCGTGTCGTGTTGAGAGTGCCAGTGAGATATTGCTGTTTTATGTTTATATACGTTGGATTTTAAAGGAGTTTAGCTTTCCTTTTCCTATTTATCCCTGTCTATAAAATCCTGAAAGGATAATCTGGTCGAACCATTACCAACGTTTTTTCCCTTCGTCAGCTCTTTTCACCTCAAAGACGCCGACTCCTTATACAAAAATGTCTTTCTATACCGATTTCCTTCCCCACCCCTTTAAAATCCAACGTATATAAACATAAAATAGCAATAACGCACGTGTACTCTCATCACGACACGCAAGAATGGTACAATTACGCAGAAAACAAACCCTTGGTATACCACACTATCATTTTCAGGTCGACTATTAAACTTCCATTCTAACAATCCATACCAACAAAAGAAAAATGTCATTAGGAATTTAATATACAGAGCATTGAAATTATCTGAAGAAGACTTCTGGCCTGTTTTCCAAACATAAAACCCTTAATATGGCCATAATGAATGCATACCCCCCAAAAATGCTTAAAGATGCGTGATATCAAATAATAAATAGTTTTAAAAAAGATAAACGTAAGGACATGAAATCATAGATAGAAGTTTCAATACAAAACATATTACTCACAAAACATTCACCTATATTAGAAGTTTATCCGAAAAGATCAGTAAAACTTTAAAAACTTATGGGGTAAACAACATCCAAATGGGTCATGTAGCCAAAAATACATGTATATATACATATACATATATACATATAAAGAGTCTCATTACCATGTGGTATACCAAGAAGGGACTAAAATAAAATATATGTTTCAATTACAGTTTTAAAACCATGTTGACGACATTCCCATTAACAAATAAAGGGGGTGAAAAAATAATATATATGTATCATTCGCATAGTCCAGGTATCAATACGTTTATTTAAAAAAATTGGAAATTCTGATGGGTGTGCCTTCAGATTGGGAATTATACCATGATATTTCTTTAAGTTTAGTTTCTGATTATGGGCCAGGAGCCCGAAGCATCCATGTAATTTACTAAATTGAATAAACGGAGAACTTGGAATTTTTTAACCTATCAATAGAGAAGATATGGACCTTGGAGTTGGTAATATATAAAATAAGATAAGAACTGTTTATACAATTTGAACGTATTACAGGCATCCTAAAAAATAAATCTAGTGCTTGTAGAAATGGTAGTCAAAAAAGTGCAATCGTACTGATCAAATTGGCGAGCTCACAAATCTGAAAACGGCCACCCCGAGGGGGTTCCTCCACCAGTTCCGAAATTGCCGGACATTGTCGGAATTCCGTTCGTACTAAGGAGTGCGTTTAATTTCTCGTAAAACTGTTTACGCCCCCATACCACTTTTCGTCGGTTCAACACCTGGGGATGATTTACGGGTACCCGAAATTAGCTTCGGCGGGCCATTCCGGGGGTATGAAATTAACAACAGTGTTCACACCGCGGCGCGGCCCTCTAAAATATTCCCTGCCAGACTCCATTAAATCTGCGAGTGAGGTTCGAAGAGGAAAAAACACGTGAAATGTGCCTGTTGCAGATAAAAGGCCATCGTTTCAAATCCAGAACATTTGTACGATCATTTTCAGAAGAAAATATCCAATTAAGAACGAATCCAAATACTTCCTTTTCACACAAGAAAACTGATCATACACCCACTGGCAAAACACTAATTGGTCAAAAGAGAGAGCAAACATTTCGTTCCATTCTAAGAATAAACTGGATTGATGCTTTATTTGTCGGCAAAGAGAACTAAGTTCTATTCAGCAATGATTATAATTTCAATTAATTATTCTTTTTATCTCAACCAAGACCTTAGATAAAAAGGATAATTAATTGAAATAAGTAATTTGGTTAATTAGTAGACCACTAAGCATAAATGGATTATGAATTATAATACATATTAACAACTGAAAAATTGAACAATCAAAAGCAAAACAAATAACTCAATCTCAACGACCAAAAAAGAAAACTTGTTTATTTATTTATTTTGCATAATAATTTGGTATACAGATTTTTAAATTTATTTTATTTTTTGCTATCTGTGCAGAATGTACATTGACCGTTAGAATGCAGAACCGAATTAGTTATATACAAATCTGGCAGACCTGCCAGAACAGTACATTCCCGTATACTCGGTCGTCCTAAAAAGGACAATGAGGATATT